TTGACAAAGGAGCTGAAATCAATCCCTGGAGTTAGGACAATCTCGCCAACAAATGGTGCTGGGAAAATTGGATCTCCATATGCCAAAGTATGAAGCAAGACCCATATCTAACACTTTACACAAGAATCCACTCAAAATGAATTAAAATCTCTGACCTGAAACCATCAAGTTACTAGAGAACATTGGCAAACCCTGCAAGATATAGGCACAACCAAAGAGTTGTTGGAAAAGACCCCAGGGGCACAGACAATCAAAGCTAAAATGAACAAATGGGATTACATCAAGTTGAGAAGTTTCTGTACTGCAAAAGAAACACTCAACAACGTGAAGAAACAACTGACAGGATGGGATAAATTATTTGCAAGCAATCCAACTGATAAAGGATTAATAACCAGATACATAAAGAGATCAAGAAACTTCACATTAACAAAACAAACAACCCACTTAAGAAATGGGCAAAAGACTCAAACAGACATTTTTCAAAAAGAGGAAATCCAAATGGTCAACAGACACATGAAAAAAATGCTTAGGATCACTAGCCATCAAGGAATTGCAAATCAAAACCACAATGATGTTTCATCTCACCCCAGTTAGAATGGTTTTCATACAGAAATCAACAAACAACAAATGTTGGTGAGGATGTGGGGAATAAGGTGTCCTAATCCACTGTTGGAAGGAATGTAAACTGGTAAAGCTACTGTGGAAAACAGTATGGAGATACCTCAGAAACCTGAGTTTGACTACAGATAAATTATATCAAAATCTCCATAGGTATGGCCCAGCAAATGGAAGTCAATATTTTTCAGTCTCTTAAGGTGCTGTGGCTATATAGCCAGTTATTTAGAATAGTGTAAGTATTACAAATTTATTTCCAAGCATTCATTACCAGTTAAAAATCTGGTCAAAGAGAAAAGTTCACTGAAGCAACAGGCCTGAAGGATCATTGCTTCCATAGAGGCAGAATATTCAATTAGTCACTGCCTATAGAAGTGGGGATTCATGAATTTCTGGACAGATAGACTTAAATTCATGAAGAGTATGAAAATTTCTTGTTTCAAGATAGAGAAATCACCACACAGAACATGTTGTGTGTGCTTTCTATGTTACAGCAAGAGCTGTCTGTATAAAGCAGATTTTATGTTCTATGATAACATATAGTATGCTATTAATCAACATAGCAAAGAATTATTATCTTAAGCAAAATCATATTTGGTCTTATAAGGAATTAATTAATTGCAAACATGTTATTAATAATTTGGAGACAGGGGATTATCTCTTCTGCACCACTCAGTCTCAGTATAGCCCAGAAAGATGTTAGCAATGGATATGAATGCTCAATGGGGAAATGCCATGCTTTAGTTCAGACCCCAAATAAGAAGCTTCTCTAACTTAACAGACCTGTAAAGAGCCCTACCCATTGGGCTAGCTCTCACACACCCCAGAGCTAGGATCCAGACCCCAAAATACTCTTAACTCTGGAAACAGGGGGGCAGCATCTAGCAAACAAAGGACATTTTTCTTTTTTAGAGTGGTAAGGAATCATTGTCAGGCATTTGCCTATGCATTAACGAGAATAAATTTGTTTAGATGCATCATTGTAATGCATATACTAGGAAGGAACTTGGAACTATTTCAGAAGTAGAGAGTGAGACTTTATATGACCAATATTAACAGCTCTGAACAAGAACATGACATTGCAACAGATTCTTGCATGAACACGAATAAGGTATATTGGAAGAAAATATATGTTATTGTCTAGTCACTTAAGGTACACAACATGATGATTTTATATACACACTTATTTACATATACACTTACTAGCACTTTCATTAACACACTTAATTAGCAGTGTGTGTGTGTGTGTAGTGTGAAGTATGGTATGTGTTGGGGGGCTGGGGAGCACTTAAGATCTACTCTCAGCAAATTTCAAATAAGCAAAATATTAACTATACTAGCCATGCTCTACATTACACACTCATAACTTACTCATCTTATATCTCGAAGTTTGTACTATTTTAGCAACATATGCTGATTTCCTTCCTCCCCACCCCAACACCCGGAGACCGCTATTCTCTGATTCTGCAAACTCATTTAATTAGTTAGTTATTATTTTATTTAGGCAGGGAAACACACAGAGAGACGTACATCTCCTGTAGTCTGCTCACTCCCCAGATTCCTATAACCGACAGGGCTAGGCCAGGCTTAAGCTAGATGCAAGAAACTCAATCCAGATTTCCCATATGAGTGGCAGGAATCCAACTGCTTGAGCCATTATCTGTTGCCTCGCAAAGTGCACATTAGCAGGAAGCTGGAGATTGAAGTGGAGCCTGGACTCAAAGCCAGGCACTCTGATATGGCATGTGGTGATCTAAAGTGGCATAATAACAGCAGTGTCAAATGCCCACTCCTTCAATTTTTTTTTAGATCCTAATAGAAGTGAAATGATATGGTACTTCTCATTCTATACCTAGCTTATTTCGCTTAGCATAGTCTCCTCCAAGTTTATTCATGCTGTTATAAATGACAAGATTTTCTTATTTTCAGGGATAAATAGTATTCCATTATTTATTTACCACATTTTCTTTATCCAAGCATTCACTGACAAACCCTTAGGTTGATTCCATAGCTTGGTTAGCATCAATAGTGCTTCAAAGCACAGGGGAGAACAGATATCTCTGAGATTCTAATTTCTTTTTTTTAAATGTATTCTCATCAGTGAGATTGCTGGATCATAAGACAGTTTCATGTTTAACTTCTTTAAAAGTTAAACATACTATTTTCCATAATGGCTGTTAACTTACATTCACATCAACAGTGTGTGTGGATTCTCTTTTCTTCATACCCTCATCGACACTTCTTACCTACTGTCTAATTTGATTAGTATATTTAGCTCGTGTTTATACTCCTGTAGAACTGTGGTCTTTTGTTGTTTTCAAACATTTTTTTCCTTTTCATAGGTTACCTTTGTTTTGTTGATTTTCTTTTTCTGAAACCTTTCTAAGTTTGATGAAATCTCTTTTGTGTGTTTTCATTTGCTTACTTATATTTTAGATGCCACACCCCAAAATTTTAATGCCAAGACTAATGGTAACCTTTTTTCCCTACATATTCTTTCAGGAGTGTTAGTTATACTTTCAGATCTTAAATTTAGGTCTTTAATCCATTATGACTTAAATTTTGTACATGATATAAGAACTGAATTTAGTGTGTTTGCCTCTGCCCATCTAGTTTTCTCAACACCATTATTGAAGAGAATATCCGTTCTCCATTCCATTGTGTACCTTTGGCATCATATAGAGATGAATTTATTTCTGGACTCTGTTTCATTCCATTGGTCTATGTGTTTATATTTATGACTGTCCATACTGTTGAAATTATGGTAGCTTAAGTAGTATTCCTGATGTCAGGAGGGGCAATGCCTCCAGATTTTTTTTTAAGATTCATTTATTTATTTGGAAGGCACTGTTAGAGAGAGAGATAGAGAGAGAGAGAGAGAGAGAGAGAGAGATGAAAAGAGAAAGACATAAAGATCTTCCATCTGCTGGTTCACTTGGCTGCAATGGCTAGGCTGGGCCAGACCAAGCTTCTTCTGGTCTCCCACTTTGGTGGCAGGGACCAACCATTTGGGCCATCCTCTGCTGCTTTCTTGAGTGCATTAGCAGGGAGCTGGATGGCAGTAGAGCAACCAGGACTCGAATCAGTGCTCGTATGGGATGCCAGCATTGCAGGCAGTGGCTTTACCTGCTGTGCTGCTGAACTGACCCAGATGCCTCTGCTTTATTCTTTCTCAAGGTTCTCTTGGCTAAATGAGTTCTACTGCTTCTTCAGTTTCTTGAAAATTGTACAATAATCTTTTTTTTGAAAGATTTGTTTATTTATTTGAAAGGCAGAGTTACAGAGAGAGAAGAGAGGCAGAGAGAGAGGTCTTCTATCCACTGGTTCACTTCCCAATTGGCTGCAACAGCTGGAGCTGTGCCGATCCGAAGCCAGGAGCCAGGAGTTTCTTGCAGGTCTCCCACATGGGTGCAGGGACCCATGGAATTGAGCCATCTTCTACTGCTTTCCCAGGCCACAGCAGAGAGCTGGATAGGAAGTGGAGCAGCCAGGACTGAAACCGGGCGCCCATATGGGATGCTGGCACTGCAGGTGGTGGCTTTACCGCTACACCACAGCGCCAGCCCCTATAGTATAACCTATTTTTTTTTTTTTTGACAGGCAGAGTTAGAGAATGAAAGAGAGAAATGTTTACCTTTTTTCTGTTGGTTCACCCCCCCATGGCTGCTACGGCCGGTGCGCTGCGCCGATCCAAAGCCAGGAGCCAGGCGCTTCCTCCTGGTCTCTCAGGCAGATGCAGGGCCCAAGCACTTGGGCCATCCTCCACTGCCTTCCCAGGCCACAGCAGAGAGCTGGCCTGGAAGAGGGGCAACCGGGACAGAATCCGGCGCCCCGACTGGGACTAGAACCCAGGATGCCGGCGCCGCAGGCAGAGGATTAGCCAAGTGAGCCGTGGCGCCAGCCTGTAGTATAATCTATTAATGGAATTCTTTTAACTATCATTTTAAAGGTTAAATCATAACATTAGATAGCTGTATATTGACCTGTATGTGATTTTCATTTCTGCAGTGCAAATTTATTCATTTTTCAGCAAACCTGACTTAAATTGCACTGCTGACAGTTTTATAGGTGGATTCCACACTGAATCCAAGTTACAGTGGAATTAAAAAGTGTACCTGGAAAACAGTACTCCTAACAACATGGCATCTGGAAATGCTAATTATGAAAAACTGTGGTGGGTTGTAAAACACCGCCACTTAGGCCAACATACTACTGTGAACTTAAATTACAGCTTTTCTGGTCTCAACACTTCTATGAATTCCTGGACTTATTTTCAAAACTGATGTTGTCCCTTCAGTCTCTACCAAAAAAGAGAGAGAAATACTTATGACGTTATGAGCCTCACTGAACTATGATCATTGATATTACTTCTTTGTGGTACGTAGGAGCACAAAGCTGCCAGTTTGTGGGATGCATACGCAGGACTGTTATGTCATCAATCCATGATCCTAGCCACAAACTCCAGGTACAATAAACTTCATGTTCTTGTTTCTCATTGATTGAAAAGTGTTAGTTTTCAGAAACATCACAATTGTGAAAAACAAAAAAAAAAACTCCAAATCCCACCACCTGAACTCAGCAACAATTATTTCTGTCTTGTGGTTTTCCCCAATCTTTCTGTACTACATGGATAAACAGATAGTCCTTCTTGTTGGATATGGGTAGATTTCTTTTGCCATGAATTTGAAGATGCAGTCCACTATCAGAAATGTAAAATCAAAATGTAGAAAACATAATATCACCGATTACAGAAATTATGGCAGTTATGCAGTTTCACTCCTAAACTGTAGTGTGGGTATATGAACTTGACTAGGAATTTAACCCTACTTTACAAAATTATGTTTATAGAAAGAAATATATTTTATGTCCAAATAATTTAGTGTAGATTATTCTTTGCAAAGAAATTGATTATTTTATATTTAAAATATCACTGCCATTTTAAAGAGAAGATATGGCAAATGTGTGTTATATAAAGCCAAACACTAAAAGAGTTACAGAGAGGCAGAGGCAGGGAGAGAGAAAGAGAGAGAGAGAGGGAGGTCTTCCACCCACTGGTTCACTCCCCAAATGGTTGCAATGGCCAGAGCTATGCCGATCTGAAGCCAGAAGCTTCTTCTGGGTCTCCCACGTGGGTTGGGGGCCCAAGGATTTGGATCATCTTCTACTGCTTTCCCAGGCGATAGCAGGGAGAGAAGTGGAGCAGCAGGATTCAGACCAGCACCCATATGGGATACTGGCACTGCAGGTGGTGGCTTTACCTGCTACACTACAGCATTAACCCCTGGACCTCATGTTTTAGTGCACTTTTATCACCAGAAAAATACTACTAAAGTTGCGTGACATTTTTTTTCTTAACCATTTAATTTTTTTTTGTCAGCTATGTGGATCCCTATATTCAATTTGAAATTCAATTGCATATAATAGAGGCAGCCTTTAAAATGGTATTTTCCATACCACAACTTGATGAAGTGAGAGGCTTGGGAACCTGTGCCGAGGACATGGTGGACCTGGTGGTAAGCTCTTCTTTCCTCTACTCACAATAAGACACCGTTACACACCGCAGCAGTCCTTCAGAGAGCCTCTCAGTGGGTCACAGTATTTATTGTCTTCTCCTTTACTATTCTTAGATATAGCAAGACATAGTCCTGTCTAGAACTAATCTTTGTCTCTGGATTCCTTGTGAATTCCACAAACCATGAGATTTAATGGGTTGCAAAGAACTTAGAGGAACCAATGGGTGAAGATGTTTCTGGTTAATTGATTTTGTGATGGTGGAGAGGTTACTATCAAGTGCTCCCAGAAAGGGAATAGGATCAGAGAAAAGTGAAGTTAGAAAGCTTTCTCTAGCAAGATCAGCAACATCTTCAGTTTCTGTTTCCTCCACATTGCTAGGAGTGTGCTTGCTCCATAAACTGGGGAAAAAAAATGCATGATGTATTGATGGCTCACATTAGCATATTCACTCCTCTCCTTTCTTATCTTGTTTATGAAGAGAAATTAAGACATTTGGAGGCAAAATGATATCTATCAAATAAAATTTTATCTGATGTTGACTGGTTAGTAGCACACTCTTTTTTTGTATTTCAGAGTTTATATCAAAATATTTTAAACATATATGAAGACACTCTTCTGATCTTAGTATCTAAAGATCTCTACAAGCTACAGATCTTAAAGGTAAAGCAAAAGGAAATCAGAAATTTTGTCATAAATACAAATTAACTGTTTCATTTATTTCCCATGTGCCACATTTCCATCTCTTTCAAGTATTTGTGGCTGAAAATTTGTCTTTACTTCCCAAGGAGTGAAATTACTCACAAAAAGAAATCAGTTTCCTTTAATTCAATTATAAAGGCGTACATTTTAAGAAATCGATTTTGAGGACATGGCTTCAACAGACACTGGAGAAGCTGCATTTTACGAATAATACAGTACATATAATATAGAGCAGCAGAGAATAGTGTTGACTTCACCTACCTTCAAGTACACATAAAATGAACCATACTGTGACAACATCTATACACATGCTTCTTCCCCATCACTTCTTGAGGTTTAGAATCCTGTGGCATTCTGTCTTCATGGATATCACTTTCTATGATTTAAACGTGTCCTGCAAAGTTCATGTATTAGATAGTTAATCCCTAATGTGATGGCGTTTGGAGGGGGCCCCTTTGAAAGGTGTTTAGGTCATGAGGGTTGTGCTTTCATGAGTAGTTGAATGTAATTTTTGCAGAAGTGGGTTAGTTATTACTGACTGGGTTTCTGATAAAATGATGAGTTTGACTCCCTCTCCTCTTGTTATTGCTCCCTTTTGAGATGAAGATGTCTACCCCCTGTCTGACACACCATTCTGGAAACATATAACAGGCTCACAGCTAGAGAGAAACTGGATTCAGTGGATTGTGCCTTCATTCTCACTTACATGAGTCAGATGAGATTCTAGATTTGAAATGTTTAGGTTGGTGCTGAAATGAATTATGACTTTGGAGTTATTGTGATGTAATGAATATACTTTGCATATAAGAAGAACATGAATTTGGAGAGCGTGGTTAGAGGTAAAATGCTACAATTTGAATATGCCTCCAATTCATGTGTTGAAAATTTAATCCCTAATGCAGCAGTGTTGAGAGCCGGGGTCTGCAGTAAGGTGATGAGCTCATGGGGAGCCCTCATGACTAATTCCGTTATTACAAGCTGCCTCCTAAAAGGTACTTTCTAACCATGAGCCAGAATATTTCTGAGTGGTAAATTTGCAGATGATTTCTGAGCTGAGATGCCCTTTGAGGATCAAATAACACTTCAATTCTGTTTTAAAATCAAAAGGCAGATTATGTGTTTTTTTTCAAAGAATACATACTCTGAAAGAAAATGAGTGGTGAAGCAGTTGATTGCTAAGCTTTTCATGTTGCCTGACAAAGTGACTCTTACAGCAACATTAGTGGATACATGAATAGAATTGAATCAAATAAATCCAGGATGTGTTTTTTATATTCAATGTAGTAGCATCCTAGATGCATATTGGCTGTATTTTTAGATAAAATTAGATTAAGTGTGAAATAATCAGTATACTGTAGGAACTGCTGAATTGGTGGCATTACAGACTAGCAGGGGAGGACTTTGGGAAGTGGCAATGCCACAGTAACAGAGTGACCCTTGTGTTTCCAACAGGAGATGGCTGTATGGATGCATGAAGATAGTTCATACCTGCAAGAGAGAGTAATGGTGATCATCAGCAGGGTGTTAAATTTCGCATCAAGGAAAGTCAGGGAATATGTAAGTCACAAAATGCAATAATGCCTCTCCTTCTGAAGACTATTTCTATATTGCTGCTCACTACCTTTTAAATATTGAAGGCAGTATATTACTGCATTGATAAGTTTGGAAATGAGTCAATATCTTACATGACTTTGTATCAATCTGGGCATAATGTTTCAGACAATGAATGAGGATGCACTACACTTCTCAGAAATAGTAGGAGTGGATCAAGCCAGGATTTTCCCAACTCTCTCAATTCTCTCTGTGGACCACAATCAATGAAATTTGTAACATCATTTTGCTCTTAAAAATCCTTTAAATTATTTTTCATTTATCTTAAATTTGTGTAAGTAATTCTCAAGTACTTTCATGTTAGAGCATGCTAGAGATAGAAATTAAGTCTCCATCACCTGCTGCCTTTCATGTGAATTAGCAGGAAGCTGGATCAGAAGTGCAGAGTAGCTAGGACTTGAACCAGGCACTCTGCTATGGGATGCTGACATTCCTTAATCCACTATGCCTGAATACTTGTCCCTATTTAATTATTTTAAACACAGCATATATCCTATTGTTTTGATGAATGATAATCTATCATTGAGTAGACTAACATGAGGTATATTTTAAGTTTTTCTACTTCAAACATACAAAATTGTCATCTCTGCAAGTATGTGACCATGTACTTGGAAATGCTGTGAGAGATAATGGTCAGATCAGAACATGTGATAGCTTAAAGATGAATAATGAAAATTGTCTTCCAATTTACATCCTAGTTACTAACAGAGTGCAAATTTCCATACACTTTCATATACCCTGCAATACATCAATCTTTCTAATTGTACCTTTAATAGAGAATAAATAGGTATCTCATAATTGCAAATGTTTAGTGAGATTTTCTGTACTTTGAATGGCACGATGACTTGCCTTCTCAGAAACCTCACAATATCTATGAACACTCTTCTATGTAGAGACTGCACATTTTGCTTTGGTCTTTGTTTTCCAACTCAGCCTTCACAGTGATTTTTAAAAAGATGTATTTACTTAGTTAATTTAAAGGCAGAATTACAGAGAAAAAGGGAGACACACAGACAGAAAGGTATCTTGTATCCACTGTTTTGCTCCCCTAAATGGCCATAACCTCCAAGGCTGGACCAGGCTGAAGCCAGGAGTCAGGAACTACATCCAGGTCTCCCACATGTGTAGCAGGAGTGCAAACACTTAGCCATCTTCCCCTGTTTTCCATGGCACTAAAATTATCAGGGAACTGGATCAGACATGAAGCAGCGAGCACTAGAACTGGTGCTCATGTAGGATGCTAGTGTTGCAGGCAGCAGCAAAACTCACTGGGCCACAACACCAGCCTCTCAAAGCGACTTTTTAAATTACTCTATTAATAATTACTCTATTAATTGCTTATCTGATTGCTTGAGTCATTGCAGTAGGCATCAAGTTCAAAGGAGGCTGGAGTTGTGCATTCATGAAGTAGCTTCATGTAGTCATTTTCTACTACTTGTATAAACAGATCTCAGATGTACAGAGACAAATAACACTAGATCAACCTTATCACATATCTGAATTTTACTGCTTTGTTTAAAATCAACTTTGGTGAACCGGCATTTCACTGCCCGGAAGGAAGAGAAGCGAAGTATCTTGTTTAACACTTTTGATTCCCTGATCTGGGAAGGCAGCCTGTCTCCCCTTCCAAAATGATTTGAGCTGTCCATACAAATGTCCTGAAGATTCATCAGAGAAAAATTTGCAAGTGAGGCTTGAGATAAAGAGTAATTCACTACTTAGGCCTGTTTATACACAGTTCACACAGTCCCTTATTTATGTTACACTCTCACCAAAGATTTGATGCCAACTGTTTGAGTGCTTTTTATCACATTATTCTCTCTGCATTTGAATATTTATTGTAGTGAGTGTGACTCAAGTACAGGTAACATATTTTGAAATGTTCTATAACTCTATAACTTTTTACTCTCCTTCCTCTTATTTTTTTAATATTGATTTATTTGAAAGGCAGAGTGACAGGGAGCGAGGAATAAAGAGAGATAAATCTTCCATCCACTGGTTCACTCTCCAAATGCTCACAACAGCCAGGTCAAAATCAGGAGCCAGGAACTCATCTAGGTCTGTCATGTGGGTGGCAGGAGCCCATGTACTTGAACCATCATCCACTGCCTTCCCAAGGACATTAGCAGGAAGCTGGATCAGAAGCAGAGTAACTAGGACTCAAGTGGGATGCATGCATGGTAACAGGCAGTTTAACCTGCTGGGCCACAATACCAACTGCGTCTTCTCCCTTTGCGTCGTTGTATCAGAGTTCATTCTCCCTTGTACACCACCGACCCTTCAACCATGCAAGAATGACTATCTAAATCTGTGTACAAAGCCCAAAGCTTTAGTAAATTCTTGTTTGAAGTTTCCTGGCGTTTAACTGTGATTTTCGGGGGAAACCAAGGGGATAATCTCTGTTCTGCAATGTTCACTAATTGCCGCCAGGTGGAAGTATATCAGCATTTTACAGAACATAAAGAGCTGGAATCATGGTCATGGAAGCATAGAAAGTCCACGGCTGTGGAAGTTAGCTTTCACTTGTAAGTAATGGCTTCTAAGGATGGTTAAGTAAGTAAAATCAATAGAGGAGAACAAATATATAAAACAAAATAATCAAAAAATGTTGTTGATAAATTAAAAGCTGAGCTTCCCACAGTCCTGTTCTATGTATCTCTATCCAGCACACTGTTAAAAAACACAATAAATATTTGTTTTACCAACAAATATAGTTGATTACATATTCTGTTCTCAGATGTTGTTGATACACTGAATAAATACTTTTTTTCTCCATAATCACCCTATGTTATATCTTCTAGAGTCTCAGAAGCTGTTGACGTATTGCACAATCTTGAGTACCATTTTTATTTTGTCAGAAATACTTTAAGGTGATAATTCCTCTGACATGAACCATGTGGACATCGGGGTGGAGAAACTCCAACACTCAGTATTTTTCTTTCAGTTAAATAATTCAATTTTCAACAAAGAAATGTCAGCTAAACAAGTCATCTTACAGACTTTCTGTAGCGGACTTTCTCTAAGCTCTCTCCTGTTGGCACATCAGCATTTAAAGTTAGAAGGAGTATTTCCTGCTAAAACTAACAGGTTGCCCACATGTGTTTCTCCTCTCTTGCCACAAAATGATAGGAACACAATTTGTTAAAGGTATAAATTCACAGCAACAAGGAGATTAGTGACTGGGTTAATGGGCTACAGATGGAGACAACCTTCTGAAAGACTAATGAGATAAAGGACCAAAGTTTTACAGAGGAATTGAGTGGCAGGAGCTCATGACCATTAGGATTGGGGGAGGGGGGCAATTGAAAAGGGAGACAGTTTGCCCTGGAGAACCTTGAAGATTCTGGAGCATAGATGACAAGGAGGCAAAGTGAGAGTAGAAACACATGCACTAATTGGCAGCTGACAGCGGCGCCGGCACACCAGGTTCTAGTCCCAGTCAGGGTGCCGGATTCTGTCCCGGTTGCCCCTCTTCCAGGCCAGCTCTCTGCTGTGGCCAGGGAGTGCAGTGGAGGATGGCACAGGTTCTTGGGCCCTGCACCCCAAGGGATACCAGGAGAAGTACTTGGCTCCTGCCATCGGATCAGCGCGGTGCACTGTCTGCAGCGCGCTGGCCGCAGCAGCCATTGGAGGGTGAACCAACGGTAAAGGAAGATCTTTCTCTCTGTCTCTCTCTCTCACTGTCCACTCCACCTGTCAAAAAAAAAAATTCAATGTTGGGCCTGGTGCTGCAGCACAGTAGGTTAATTCTTCGCCTGCAACACCGGTATCCCACATGAGTGCTGGTTCTAGTTCCAGCTGTCTCTGTGATGGCCTGGGAAAGCAGTAGAAGATGGCCCAAGTGCTTGTACCCCTGCACCCATGTGGGAGACCTGGAAGTAGCTCCTGGCTTCAGATTGGCCCAGCTCCAGCCGTCGAGGCCATTTGGGGAGTGAACCAGCAGATGGAAGACCTTTCTCTCTGTCTCTCTGTCTCTCTCTGTCTCTCTTTGTCTCTCTCTCTCACTGTCTATAACTCTACTTCTCAAATAAATAAATAAAATCTTTTAAAAAAATAAGAAGAAAAATCCATGTTACCTCCCATTCCCCTTTGACATATGAGCTCATTGGCAGATGAAATTGAAGGACTTTTTTTTTCAAAATCAATTTTTTTTTTCAAGTTCCTTCCAAATAGAATCTTGCGTTCAGCATGGCTATAGCATAGCATGACCTCAACATTGCCAGCAGTCTCTCCAGCCATGGCAAAGTAGATTGAAAAGGTTATAAACCTTGCTAACAAACAAAAGTCCACTAGGGGGCAATATATTCCTAAATACAAATAGATAATCAACTTTGCCAGAAAGTTGATAAAAACCTTCATATAAAAGAGATGAAAGTAGATAAAGAGAAAAACATGACTATCAAAAATGGATAATGCAGGGCACAGATAAGTTGTTCTCCTTGAAAAATATGAAATAAATTTCCAAAAATATTTTTAAAATGTTGTCCTCCAAAGGCATAGAAAACATATAAGTATATGCTAAAAAGGAGTATAACCAAAGTGGACATGGTCTATGTGTTGAGCAATTTTAGTCAGAATGAAGCAATATTATTGATTTTCAATTTTTTAGACTCACAGACCAAGCACTAAATGAGTTACTGCACACAATGCAAATGTTATGAACTGAACAGTTAAAGCAGTTATTAACTATTTAAGCACAGAATTTCCATTTGACCCAGCAATTCAAAGTACATAACTACCCAATTTAAAGCAGGTATTAAAAAAAGAAAACTTGTACATAAGTGTTCATTGTAGCAAAATCCACAGGAGCCACAAAATGGAACCAACTGAAATTTCCCTCAATAGATGGAAAAGAAAATAAAATATGCTTTATCCATAATACTGAATATTACCCAGGCAGAAGGGAGTTAAATCTGATATATGCTACAAGATGGGTCTTTAAAACG